AAAAGAGTTCTAATTAAGACAAGCCCTCCCCATTTGAAAGATTAGTAAAACACAATCTTCCAATTGGATTAGTTCAGTAAATATCAGAATGGAATATACTAAAAATATTGTCATTTACATTTGTACATTTAGATAATTGTCCTTATCTTTGTTGTTATTATCATAATATTCTGGCAGATCTACTCTCTGGCCTTCATTAGGTATTTGTCACTCCAGGTATCTTTCAGGGAATTTTGAACTGAACTCTTTATTTCATCTTCAGAAACTGAATAAAAACTTACTTTATCTGTCACATTCAAGGAAACACATACAAACACACATATATGTTACGCCAACAGACACAAGGTGCTAAAAAGCAATTAACCCATTTCTAAAATCTGACCAGACATCTAAAGATTTCTAATAAAACATTATTTATATATATGGTAATTTTATTTCTTTGTATTATCTCTTGAAAGGATACAGGTGTGTATGAAAATTCTGATTTTTAACATCTTTTCTCATCATGCTCCTATTTGGTCAAAAGACCGACTAATATACAATATCATTTTTATTATTATTATTATTATTGTTTTTATCTCTTGAATTTATTTCATGGCCTACTATATCTACCTATGGATAAATATTTATTGTCCTTTTAGAGATATACTCTATCTGAAATTATATATATAAAGTAATAAATCCATTGGTATATAATCCAAGTGGATCCTAGTAATATAAAATAAAACTGATCCACAAAAAGAGTTCAATGTATTTATTATTACAGAGCAAAAATTAATACACATAAATCCCTATATATATATACATACAAACAATAAAATCCAAAATCACCTCATATGAGGAATAAGCTTATATCAACTGACGGAAAAATAAAATTTGTCAGTCTTACTTAACCTTGGTATAGATTGAGTTTGTGTCAGAATCCAACACAAAGTCAGTCTGACTGATATATTTTAGTTTTTCATCAGTTGAAATAAGCTTATTCCCATGAGGAGATTTGGGATTTTATTGTGTATTAATATATATATATATTTTACATTGAGCACTGTTTTATTAACCCCAGAATTATATAAATATATATCATCTGAGAGACCCCTCTCTGCCTTCCATCAGTATAATTGATGCTAAACTCCAGGAAAGTGACTTGTTGCATCTCAGGCTAACATTCTCAGCTGACATGAGGTGGAACGACTGTATTGAATCCATTGCTGGGTCAGTTGCTAAGGAAGTCATTTCGCTGTGTCATGTGAGATAATTTTTCTCTCTAGAATCTATCTTACATATCTATAAGCCTATCATTAATCCATGCTTAGAATATTCCTACCACATGTAGACCGTTGCCCCTGCTCTTTACCTTGAGATCCTTGATAAAATCAGAAGAAAAATCAGCAATATTATCGGTCCTGAGCTGGCAGCTCTGCTTCAGTCACTTTCCCATCGCTGTAAGGAAGCCTCCGTGTGCCTTTTCTATAAATACTTTCATGGTAATTGTTTGAATGAGCTCTTTGATATAGTATCTAGAGTTTTTGAATTTAAGCTCATCATTAGACTGGTGTCGAGTTCTCATCAATTTACAGTTGAGCTTGTTAAATGGAGCCATAAGATCTATGCTAGCAGTTACTTTTCTCGCATTTCTTACTTTTGGAACTCCCTTCTGGCTCCATGCTTTCCAGCCAACTTTAATCTGCAAAAATTTAAATGCAATGTCAATCACTATCAACTGTCCACCTAATTACTCTCTTGTCTCTCTCGTCATTATTAATGTTTCTGTTACTAATTCTTCCACACCCTCTAAACCTTCTGTCTTAGTGGTTTTATTGCCTTGTTTGTTGTACTCTCTTCCAGTTCCATGCTTTCCGCTGTTTGTCAAGTTTTTTGAATTCTCGTATACTTGTATTTTGATTGGTCACCCCAACTTATGTAACAGCGTTTCCCCTAGCGAGGGGTGTTTGATTGATTTGAACCTTTTAAAATCCTTTATTCTACATTCAACAACATCACTTCATAAGACACCAGAAGTGTTGAAACAAAATGGCTATTTTTGTAGTGATTTTATAACATATTTATGTTATAATTTTCGAATAAATAATTATATTTGCCCTACTCTGTACTGAGCACTCTTTTAGTCTTTTAAGAATAGTATTTATTGGAATTTATTCTGTATGCACCAATCCTATACTTGGATATATATATATATATATATATATATATATATATATATATGAGGGAGATTATTACTTCAGGCATTATTTTTAGAGGATAGCTGTTTTTAAAATAGACAAACCATTTTTATTTTAAACAGTCTACCTGGCAAGGAAAATGTGAAATGTGAACAGCAAGCAAGTTTCTATTAAGATTTGTTGAGTTGATAGATTTATTAGACACTGTCTAAAATAAAAATAGGTTGTCTGTTTCAAGTAGAGGTATCCATTAAAAATAATGTTTTTTTGTTTTGTTTTTTGCAATGATATTCACCCTGTACAAGGCCCAAGAGCCACTTGAGGTAGAGGATTATATCAGGAAAAGGTATTAAAAGGAACTGGAAACCTAATGTTAAATGTGAAACAAAGGATAAACCTCTAGTCCTTGTCAAAGGACTGGGGAGGAGTGTGAACCGGGCAAAAGGTTGAACATATTTACTTGTATTGAGGAAAAAAAAAGTAATTCAATAACAGATAAAAGTTCAGAGTTTCAGGTGGAGACGTTAGAACTTCAGAGTCAAAGTAGATTTTAGCAAGAATCAGAAACTGAATCCTAAGCAGGAAGCAAGGGATAAACCTCTATTCCTGTTCAAAAGATTGAGGAGGAGTGTGAACCGGACGATAGTAGTTGGATTAAAATGGAATCCATTAATCTTTAGAAATAAGGGCAATTGTAGATATTTTCTGGAATTCCTGGCATTTTCTGGTATCAGGCATATGACATTTGTTTTGTTTTTTGTTTTTTATTTCTTCTTTGAAGCAATAAAGAATGAAGCAAAATAAATCTACATGTACTAACACACATTTCATTCTATCTTGTATATTTGAGAATATTTACTTAGAGGATATTAATTATCAATCCTATATCAAAATATATTACTTGTATAAATTGAAATCTAAGCACCAAAACAATCTATATATAAAATTCTGTGACATCCATTAGTCTGTCCATCTGTCCGTCCACCACACCCTCTAAAACAGCCACACACAGTTCAATTGAAACCAAATTCTGGGAAGAAGTGCAAACAGGTAAGGAGATACAAAGTACAGTTGGTTTTACTACAGTGCATAAAAAACACAAAGAAGGTTTTTTATCAAAGTATTTTTCCAAACAAATTGATTGGTTTGCAAAATGGAACAAAATATAGAGTTTGTAAATCTTAACAAAAATGTTAGCGATAACTTCAACAATAATAAATACTGTAAGGATTTTGATACACGTCAGTGTGTTGCAAAATATTCTAGTATTAAATATTTTACAAGTCTCCAAGTACTTCAACCCATTATCTAAAAATTAAATATAATTAAAATGAATTAAAAACAAAATACCTATTATGATTTTAGGATACAGAAATACAATACAATTTAGAATTTAGAAAGAAGAATCTGCAATATTAATGGTCTTGACTTGGCATTTCAGCTTCAGTTACTTTCCCCACCACCATAATGTAGCTATTGTGTGCCTTTTCTATAAATACTTTCATGGTAATTGTTCTGATGAATTTTCCTTTATGCTATAATAAATTATACAGTAAGTACACACTGGGATTACATTTTAAATTGCTATATATATTCCCCACCCCCAAATTCTACATATGCAGACTAATTAGGACATCATAGAGACTTTGAGGTATTATGGTGGCTGTAGTAAGAATGGTAAGTAAGAATATGTTGTTTTGGTGGAAGTAATATTGTACTTTGTTTGGGTCAATGATTGTGGCTAGAAGACCAGACTTTCACTATCTCCCTTTTGGCCTTATGCTCTTAATTCAGAAATAAATATCACTTTCCTCTATGCTACATAGACTTTGCAAATTTAAGTGCAGTACTTGATTGGCAGTTAGGTCTCATCATTTTACAGTTGAAATGGCTGCTAGATGTAAACATAAGTTCTATGTTAACTGTTTTTACTCTCACACTTCTCGCTTGTGAAACTCTCTTTCAGCTTTTTACTTTCCAGTTAACTATGAAAATTTAAATGCTATATCAATGGTTTTCTTCTGTCTTCTTAATTCCTTTTCTTTTATTGTCCTCTCTCCTAAATAAGTTTTTTGTTTTTCCTTATTCTTTTGTACTCAGTAACTCCTTGTGGCTTTATTGCCTTGCTTGGCGTGAAATGATTTAAAAGAAAAGCTTAAACAATTGAAAGACAGAGAATAAAGAAAAATAATTTACATTACAATCTCCTTTTATGCTTATGAAATGAAAAAAAAATTTGAAATTGACTGGCCAGAGAGATTGGTACATGAAATATAGGGCAACAGATGTCTGACTTTAAAATCTACATTACGATTTGATCCTATTTTCTCTTGAGGAAACCTTAAAAAAAAATTAATGGAGTTAATTTATTTTTCAACAGGAAAGTAAAATCTTTTCATACATTTTTTTTTAATGTGAATATTTGCATCAAACAAAAAAAAATAGTTGCTGAATTGAGAAAGATTTTTTTTCCTACAGAATTGAGAAAGAGAGAATGGTAAAACATTACTGTATGAAAACAAAAAGGTGCTTAGGGGTTAGAAATGGAAGAGTTTGATAAGGTTAAGCAAAAAAGAAAGAGAAATTCTAATCTGGAAGGCGACTTGAGCCACTTTAAACTTGTTATTGGTTAATTTAGTTGGTATTTATTTAGCTTTCTCGTGGGCGTGGGTATGGAAATCAAATATCAAGTTTTCAGAAAATAATTACAAGTGGGTAGAGAATGTATATTGGTTAAACTAAAGAGAATTTGGTTGGAAATTTGTTGTTTAAACAAAGAAAAATAGAAAGATTGAAAAAACGGGTAGGTGGGGGGGGGATTTAAAAACATGTGAAAAATATCAAGGAAGGAAGGAAGGAAGGAATTAACAGAGTAAATGAGAAAAAGAAGTAATGAAGGAAAAGATACAGGAGTGAAGCAAAAATGAAGGAAAGAGAAATGAGAGAGGAGGAAAGCAAAAGAAAATGAAGGAAATAGGAGGAAAGAGAAGGAAAATGAAAGAGATGGAAGGAAAATGAAGATGGGCGGAAAGAGAAAAATGAAGGAGATGGGAGGAAAGAGAAGGAAAATGATGTGAGAAAAGAGAAAGAAAGAGAAGTGAAATGAAGAAGATAGGTGAAAAGAGCAAGAAAATGAAAGAGAAGGAAGGAAAGAGAAGGAAAATAAATGACATAGAAGAAAAGTGAAAGAAAATTAAGGAGATGGTAGGAAAGAAGGAAAATGAAAGAGATGGGAGGAAAAGAGAAGAAAAATGAAAGAGATGGGAGGAAAAGAGAAGGAAAATGAAAGAGATGGGAGGAAAAGAAAGAAAAAATGAAAGAGATGGGAGGAAAGAGAAGAAAAATGAAAGAGATGGGAGGAAAAGAGAAGGAAAATGAAAGAGATGGGAGGAAAAGAGAAGAAAAATGAAAGAGATGGGAGGAAAAGAGAAGGAAAATGAAAGAGATGGGAGGAAAAGAGAAGGAAAATGAAAAATGGGAGGAAAAGAGAAGAAAATGAAAGAGATGGGAGGAAAAGAAAGGAAAATGAAAAGAGATGGGAGGAAAAAGAGAAGAAAATGAAAGAGATGGGAGGAAAAGAGAAGAAAAATGAAAGAGATGGGAGGAAAAGAGAAGGAAAAATGGGAGGAAAAGAAAGAAAATAAAAAGAGATGGGAGGAAAAGAAGAAAAATGAAAAGAGATGGGAGGAAAAGAAAGAAAAATGAAAGAGATGGGAGGAAAAGAGAAGGAAAATGAAAGAGATGGGAGGAAAAGAGAAGAAAAATGAAAGAGATGGGAGGAAAAGAGAAGGAAAATGAAAGAGATGGGAGGAAAAGAGAAGGAAAATGAAAGAGATGGGAGGAAAAGAGAAGAAAAATGAAAGAGATGGGAGGAAAAGAGAAGTAAAATGAAAGAGATGGGAGGAAAAGAGAAAAAATGAAAGAGAAAAAAAGAGAAGAAAATGAAAAGAGATGGGAGGAAAAGAGAAGAAAAATGAAAGAGAAAATGAAAGATGGAGGAAAAGAGAAGGAAAATGAAAGAGATGGGAGGAAAAGAGAAGAAAAATGAAAGAGATGGGAGGAAAAGAGAAGGAAAATGAAAGAGATGGGAGGAAAAGAGAAGAAAAATGAAAGAGATGGGAGGAAAGAGCTAGAAAATGAAGGAGATGGAAGGAAAGAGAAGGAAAATAAATGACAGGAGAAAAGTGAAAGAAAATTAAGGAGATGGTAGGAAAGAAGGAAAATGAAAGATGGATGCAAAGAGAAGGAAAATGAAAGAGATAAGAGGAAAGAGGAGGAAAATGAAAGAGATGGGAGGAAAGAAGGAAAATGAAAGAGATGGGAGGAAAAGAGAAGAAAAATGAAAGAGATGGGAGGAAAGAGGAGGAAAATGAAAGAGATGGGAGGAAAGAGCTAGAAAATGAAGGAGATGGGAGGAAAGAGAAGGAAAATGAAGAAAATGGTAGGAAAGAGAAAGAAAATGAAGGAGATGGAAGTGAAGATAAGGAAAATAAAATATATGGGAGGAAAGAGAAGGAAAATTAAAAAGGGGAAAAGAAGGAAAATGAAAACGAGATAAAGGAAGGAAAAATGAAAACCTGGAGGAAAGAAGGAAAACTGAAGATTGAAGTAATGAAGGAAAAATGTAAGATCAAAACAAATGAAAAGGGGGGGAGGAAGGAAGGTAAATAAAAGAATGAAAGAGAAGGAAAATGAGATCGGGAGGGAGAGATGAATGAAAAAGAAAAACGAAATAATGAGAATAAATTTTAAACTCTCAAACTTTATGAGGAATAAATAAAAACCACTAAGTATTTTAACTTTTTTATGAAAAAAATTACAAAATTATCAAAATATGTTAACCAACAACAATGCAAGATTTATTAATTTACCATTTTATAAATAATGATGAAAACAAGTTTTTTTTTTTCAAAATGTTATAAAAATATCACTGAACTATAAAACAAAAAAAAATTGAATTAACATATGATATTAATTATTTCACTTTAAAAATAAACATGGCTGAGGGAGTCAAAAGTGTATACAGTAATAGCAGTGTCAAGGGAACAAATGTCCTTTTGGCACACCATGTTTTTACTGGTGCAAAGGTTAAATATTGCCCCCCCACAAAAAAAAAGATCAATCAGAAGATTGTAGATTATGTTTATATAGAAAAGTTTGATATTGCCTGTAAGTTCACAGCCTGGCTAAGAAATGATTAATTAAAACTAGGATGGTACTTCTGCTATATATATATATGTAGAAATCAAAAAAAGAATCTGCAATGTTATTTGTCCTGACCTGGCATCTCAGCTTCAGTCCTTTTCCTACTGCCATAATATAGCTTTTCTGTGCCTTTTTTATAAATACTCTTAAGGTAATTGTTTCAATGAACTTTCCACTATGGGACCTAGACTTCACAAATTTAAGCATGGTACTAGATTGGCAGCAAGGTCTCATCATTTTACAGTTGAAATCCATAGATATAACCTTAAGTTCTATGTTAACAGTTCCTTTTCTCACACCTCTCACTTGTGGGACTCTCTTCCAGCTTCTTGCTTTCCAGTAAACTTTGATCTTTGAAACTTTAAATGCAATATCAATTGTTTTCTTCTGTCTTCTTAATTCTTCTTTTATTCTCTCTCCTTAATAAGTTTTTTTTCTCTCATATTAAGTTACCTCTTGTGTCTTAGTGGCTTTATTGCCTTGCTTGGAATTAAATGACTTTAAAAAATAAAACAAACATGATAGTTGGTTCTTTGGTCAGATTTTTGGAATTAGCACTTTCTCATAGATTGTTGCAGATGGGACATAAAAGTTATATAACCGAAAACAACAGCCACCAAAATTATCTTTTAATGCAAACCTACCAATCATTGACTGATTGATTTATTTTTTACAGCTTACCAACCCTTTGCAGGTTATTTAAAGATTAGTTTTAGATTGTAAGAATTTTTAGTTTTACTAATTAACCCATAGCTTAGGGGAAGAAGAGGTTGATTCATACCTAATCAAAATTTGATAAACAAAGAAGAAATTACAATGTGGGTATAAACTAGCTGATCAATTCTATATTACAATCAATATATAAACTGATCCCTCAATTTGTGTCCACGGTAGTTTCTCTACATTTATATTCCAGAGAATGTAAATAAATCTAAAAGATATGCCTGTGTAGGAGATCAGGATTTGATTGATTTATTTATTCATTTTCTACATTTTATCAACCCTTTGCAGATTATTTAAAACCAGAAAATATTTCTAAATTGTATTTCTTTTTTAAATAATAATGATTTAGTGATACAAGTTTTACTAATTAACCCATAGCTGGGGGAGAATAAATGGATTAATACCTAACTAGAATTTGATAAGCAAACAAGAAATTATAATGTGGATATAAATTGGGGAATCAATTCTATATTACAATCAATATATAAACTGATCCCTCATTTTGTGGTCACGGTAGTTTCTATACATTTATATTCCAGAGGATGTAAATAAATCTAAAAACATGTTTGTGTAGGTAATTAGTATTTGATTGATTCATTTTTCACAGCTTATCAACCTGTTGTAGGTTATTTCAAGCTGGAAAATATTTTTAGATTGTAAGAATATTTTTTTTGAGATAATAATGATTTAGTGATACAAGTCTTACTAATTAACCCATAGCTGAAGGGGAAAAGAAATGGATGCATACCCTTCCCAAGAGTATTTGCATGTAAGTGGATATAACGAACCCAAATGGAATTGGAACTTGGCTCCCTGATTATCAATTCTGAGTCATTATCCATTACACCACCCGCTTATCCAAGCTTACAGCACCTGGTATTCCCAAGCAGTCACTCATCTAGGTACTGACCAGGCTTGACATTGCTTAACTCTGGTGATCATACGGGAGCCAGTGTTTCAACATGATGTGACTGTAAGTTGCTAATAAATATATATGCAGTAAATCATATTCAGTTTGAATTTTGGGGATGAGGAGTTTACATTATTTACAATCTGACTAATGTCCTCATCTGTTTTGCTATTATCACAATGTTTTGGGCATTGGACTTCATAAGGTGCTTTTGATCCAAGTAACTTCCAGGGAATTTTGAACTGAACCCTTTATTAAATTTATGAGAGTAGGTTGTTCTCATTCCATTATCAATGTCTAGGAACATCTTGTCTTTTTACTACTTTCAGTTATTGCTCACCCTGTTTCCACTGAATATAAATCTGGCTAAATGGATTAAAATCTTCTTTTTTGAATTTCATGGAATAATTTTAAGTTCGAAACCCTCATTTGTTAAAAATATGATACCATTTTATCTTTCTTCTAAAATTATTTGGTCAGAGAATATCTCTGGAACTAAATTTCCTGGAAATTTTGATACTCATGCATCAGTTTGAAGGCAAGAGAGACAGTGAAAAACTATGTGGTTCTACAGAAGGATGCTGAGAATACCATAAACTGAACATGCGAGCAATGACAAATTTAGCGAAAATGGAAGCAAAGTGGACACTTATATTTCACAGCAGGAAGAAACAATTGAAATTTCTAGGGCACATAATGAGGAAAGAAGGCTTGGAAAATTGGATACTTACAGGATAGATTGAAGGCAAGAGAAACAGACCACACATAACCTACCTAGCAAGCTTGAGAAAATAGATGGCAGATCTGAGTTTAGGAGAGATAAAAAAAAAAAAAATTTATTAAGAGCTACAAAGGACTGGAAATTGTGGAGAGCCACAATCATCAACATCCTGAAGGGATGCAGTATGTAAAAATTTTTTTATAACTTTGATGGCCTTAGTCACATTTAGTTAGATTACTGGCAATTTTTTTCTTCAATTATTAAATGAAGAGTAATGTTTTCAAAAATGTTATTAACCTATTTGCCACCATCAGTCAGTTAATATGTGCCATGCGTGATACACGCTTCTTAAGCGATCATGTATCTTCCGATACATGACTGACGAGGCAGATTTCTTCCCACAGTAGGTTGCCATTTCTTTCTGCGGTAGACAAGTTGCCATCCAAGGCTATAGAACCCGGTCTGTCCTGCTATTTACCCATAGCTGGGGAGGAAAAGAGGATTCATACTTTTCCCAAAGGTATTAACATGTAAGTGAATGTAATGGATTCGACTGGAATTTGAACTCGGCTCTCCAAATAAAGCAAGTACAACAATTTATTTAATCTGGAAAGTGTTTATTTTGTTTTATGGCATATCAACACCTCAATGGGTTATTTTATGCCAACAAGATTTTTATTGCTGGTAATATTTTTTTTTCAAAATGCATTACTGGTAATTTTTTCCAAAAACGTACAGTTGGTATTAAAACCTACTTTTACACGTTCATAGTGTTTTGACCCCCTTTAGAGGGGTTAACTATTTGCCCATAGTTGGGACTGCAACAGGTACTACCACCCTGGGTCAGGTTGGACTTGGGAACACCAGCAATTAAGAGGTGGTTCCACGCTCCTCAAAACTTCCTGATCAGAGGACTTGCTGCCAGATATAGTTTATCATCATACCCAGGATACAGAAATCATTTTAACAGAGGACGGAAAATGTGACACTGAAATCTGAAGGTTCACCAAGATAACAAAATATGTCTTTCAAAAGCTAAGTAAAGTATTAAGAAATAAAAATTTCATTAAAAACAAAAGAGTACTGAACTCTTATGTAATATCAGTCTTCCTGTATGGCAGTGAATGCTGGACAATTTCATCACAAATGAAGAGGAGACTTCAAGCAGCATAAATGTAGTTCTACAGAAGGATGATAAGGATACCATGGACTGAACATGTGAGTAGCAACTAGGTTTTAGAGAGAATGGAAAGAAAAAGAGAACTTATATGTAACATCAGGAATTGATAGCTAAAGTTTCTGGAGCACATTATGAAGAAAGGGGGCTTGGAAAATCTGATACTCACAGGGCAGACTGAAGGCAAGAGGGACGGAGGAAAACAATGCATAAACTACTTACTACTAGCGAACTTGAGTAAGTGGATGGTGAAGAAAGGTTTAAGAGAGAAAAAAGATAAAATTTATTATTTGCAATAGACAGGAAATTGTGGAGAGCCATGATTGTATCCTGAAGGGACACAGCATCCAGAAAAAGCTTGTTTTTTTTATAACTTTGATGACCATAAGCACATTTAGATTACCAGCTAATTTTCTCCTCACTTATTGTTATGGTCCGGTTCCTTGTACCACAGTGATGGTCCAAGTTAGAACCAATAAAGAAGAACACGAATACGGATATGGAATAACACAGATATATTACAAACAGGTATATATACAGAGAAGTAGAAAGTGTTAGTACAAACAATCAGGTTTAGTAGTAATTGTCTGAACACGACTCTGTTTGGGACTGCCTCTCTCACTCTGACTGACTGACAGACTCCTGACGGACTTCACTCCAGACTTCAGACGGAACTCTCTGCTTCCTCTTGAGGTGCAGTATTTATTATGTATGGAATAGTCCATTATGTTATTATGGGTAAGGTCCCATAACACTTATTAAATTAAGAGTAATGATTTTTAAAATGACTAACATTTTTGTCACCAAAGAAAACTTTAATCATATATGACTTGAATTAAAATACCAAGAGATTATTTTTATTTCAGTTTTAAGTAAACAAGACAATCATTTCATTCAACCTATTGTAAGCTGAAGGCCATATTTGAATACTTCAGGAATCAGTCGCCATGTTTTTTTTTAAAACCCAGACAATGGTAACATTGTCCCCCCGCCCCCCCAAAAAATGATGTCAAGTAGAATTACTG